ATAGCAATTGGCATCATAACTTTTGAAATAGAAAGCGTCTCATAAGCAATTCATAATTTTAAAAAAATCTGTTTAACTGAGAATTAAATTTTGACGTTTAGAAAAAAGTTTAATCTTACTTGGTAGCAGTTTAATTGAAGTGGGAGACGATTGTATTGAACAACCACCTCCTTCAACCTAGCTCTAGTAGGGTCATACGAATCCTCTCCTATAATGCCATTATAATGTATTAATGTGAGCAAACTGGAAATTGGTTTGGGTGTAAGACCCTCGAAAATGTGTAAGAGGTGATGGAGGGTAAGTTGGGGAGTTGTTTTGTTCTTCCAAACTGCCAAAATGTTGAATTGAGATGTCATAACCGTATGCACGGCATGATGGATGCATGTCTCCATAAACATAACCGAATTAGATTATACATTTCAATTGAAATAACTGAATGTAAATCATTTTGTAATAGGAAAAATCTGAAAGGAAAAAGATAGGATTCTTGGTGAAAAATCTAAAGTCATATTTATAAGCCATAGTATGAATGATTTCCTTCCTCTCAACATGTATCTTACTTGTAGCCGATCTGCTCTGATACCATATTAAGATTTGAGATTTCATCCAAAAAGATAAGTCTAATATGAGGAGTAGCTCATGATCCTATATAGTATTTTATTATTTCACAGCATTCTGGTGTGGGATATTTACTTTAACAGATAGTCATACAAAATCACGGGTTAAAATATAATTTGGTATAGCAATTGGCATTATAACTTTTGAAATAGTAAGCATCTCATAAGCAATTCATAATTTAAAAAAAAAATCAGTTTAACTGAGAATTAAATTTTGACCTTTAGAAAAAAGTTTAGTCTTACTTGGTAGCAGTTTAATTGAAGTAGGAGACGATTGTATTGAACAACCACTTCCTTCAACCTAGCTCTAGTAAGGTTATACAAATCCTCTCCTACAATGCCATTATAATGTACATATGTGAGCAAACTCGAAATTGTTTTGGGTGTAAGGCCCTCGAAAATGTGTAAAAGGTGATGGAGGGTAAGTTGGGGAGTTGTTTTGTTCTTCCAAACTGCCAAAATGTTGAATTGAGATGTCATAAACGTATGCACGGCATGATGGATGCATGTCTCCATAAACATAACCGAATTAGATTATACATTTCAATTGATATAAATGAATGTAAAGCATTTTGTAATAGGAAAAATCTGAAAGGAAAAAAGATAGGATGCTTGATGAAAAATCTAAAGTCATATTTATAAGCTATATTATGAATGATTTCCTTCCTCTCAATATGTATCTTACTTGTAGCCGACCCGCTCTGATACCATATTAAGATTTGAGATTTCATCCAAAAAGATCAGTCTAATATGAGGAGTAACTCATGATCTTATATAGTATTTTAGTATTTCACAGCATTCCGGTGTAGGATATTACTTTAACAGATAGTCATACAAAATCACGGGTTAAAATATAATTTTGGTATAGCAATTGGCATCATAACTTTTGAAATAGCAAGCGTCTCATAAGCAATTCATAATTTTAAAAAAAAATCTGTTTAACTGAGAATTAAATTTTGACGTTTAGAAAAAAGTTTAATCTTACTTGGTAGCAGTTTAATTGAAGTGGGAGACGATTGTATTGAACAACCACCTCCTTCAACCTAGCTCTAGTAGGGTCATACGAATCCTCTCCTATAATGCCATTATAATGTATTAATGTGAGCAAACTGGAAATTGTTTTGGGTGTAAGACCCTCGAAAATGTGTAAGAGGTGATGGAGGGTAAGTTGGGGAGTTGTTTTGTTCTTCCAAACTGCCAAAATGTTGAATTGAGATGTCATAACCGTATGCACGGCATGATGGATGCATGTCTCCATAATTATAACCGAATTAGATTATACATTTCAATTGAAATAACTGAATGTAAAGCATTTTGTAATAGAAAAAAATCTGAAAGGAAAAAGATAGGATTCTTGATGAAAAATCTAAAGTCATATTTATAAGCTATAGTATGAATGATTTCCTTCCTCTCAACATGTATCTTACTTGTAGCCGATCCACTCTGATACCATATTAAGATTTGAGATTTCATCCAAAAAGATAAGTCTAATATGAGGAGTAGCTCATGATCTTATATAGTATTTTATTATTTCACAGCATTCCGGTGTGGGATATTTACTTTAACAGATAGTCATACAAAATCACGGGTTAAAATATAATTTTGGTATAGCAATTGGTATCATAACTTTTGAAATAGTAAGCGTCTCATAAGCAATTCATAATTTTAAAAAAAAATCAGTTTAACTGAGAATTAAATTTTGACCTTTAGAAAAAAGTTTAGTCTTACTTGGTAGCAGTTTAATTGAAATAGGAGACGATTGTATTGAACAACCACTTCCTTCAATCTAGCTCTAGTAGGGTCATACGAATCCTCTCCTACAATGCCATTATAATGTATATATGTGAGAAAACTGGAAATTGTTTTGGCTGTAAGGCCCTGGAAAATGTGTAAGAGGGGATGGAGGGAAAGTTGGGGAGTTGTTTTGATCTTCCAAACTGCCAAAATGTTGAATTGAGATGTCATAACCATATGCACGGTATGAGGGATGCATGTCTCCATAAACATAACCGAATTAGATTATACATTTCAATTGAAATAACTGAATGTAAAGCATTTTGTAATAGGAAAAAATCTGAAAGGAAAAAGATAGGATTCTTGATGAAAAATCTAATGTCATGTTTATAAGCTATAGTATGAATGATTTCCTTCCTCTCAATATGTATCTTACTTGTACGCTATGGGATGCAGGGAGATATGGTTAAAGCCAATTATAACTGTTTTTCTATAAATTTGCTTGATAGGAAGACTTGATCCTTGTATGATCATATGGTATCAGAGCCAAGTCCGGATATGATTTGACTGCTTGTTTAACACCCATAATTAAGGGTGATTTGTTAAGGGTTTGTTTATTACCTCGAGTGGCTTATTTCGGGCAAAAAAAATACTTTAACATGCCTCTCAACCCAAACTGGGCTAGAAAACATTGGAGGGGATTTATTACTTTAGTATAAACACTCGAAGTAATAATAGATGTTTGTTTGTAGTGTTTTAAAAACTAAAATACATTTAGAGTGCAATCTTAACCCAAGTATCAAGCCGGAAGTAGCTTATTCGAATACCACACTATTTTTCCACAAATCTCTTTATTTATGTATTTCAAATTTACTAAACAATAAAGGCTAAAGGGTCAAATAGGCTCATATGTCGGTCGTGTTAGCTCAATTCAGTCTCTGAACTAAAAATGGTCCAATTCGGACCTCAAACCGGCAAAAAATGGTTCAAATTTCATATTTTACATGTTAACACTTGGTCACCCATTTGATTGTCGCATGTGTATCTGAATTTTAAATTAAAAGTTCAAATAAGTTCTTGAACCCGTCACATTTGTTCAAATCACCCTCTAAACTATTAAAAAGAGTCAAAATTGTAATAAATCCAAAATAAAAATAGTAACAATAACTAAATTAAAAACAAAAACTATAAATATAAAAAATATAAAAAATATAAATATGAAACATAAGTTTAATTTGAGACTTTAATTCATACTTTATATCTATCTTCTTACATCAATATTTTATTTAAGATTTTATTTTTATTTTAATGTTTTATTTTATGTTATTATATTTTATAATTTTGTTGGTCTTGAATTAAAACATGTGAAATATAAAATATGAATAAATAATACTTCAAAAATAATTTATAGATTCAAAATGTAAAAGTTCAAATCACAAATATTTTGTATAACTGAAAGTATAAATATGATTTGTTTTATCTATCTAATACAAAATAAAATAAATAGGAATGGATGTTAAAAATCTATTGAAATACAAAATATAAATTTAAGAACAAAACTAAAGCTCTAAGTTAAAAAGCCCTAAATAGGAATATAACATAGCAAATGTACTCAAATAAGAATGTCGTTATTTTCATTCTAAAATATGACTCATGCACTCCTACTTAGGATTAAAGAGGTCTTATTTAGAAAGAAAATATAGTTTAGATTTTCATTTATTTTCATCCTACTTTGAGCAGTTTTTAAACCTAAATATTTAATATAATATAACATACTAAAAAAAGGATATGGGTCAAAATTTGACATTATAGTGATATTTGAATTTAATATTAGACACTACGGTTTTAAATGGACCAAATTGAACACTGTGGTTATAATTGTATTTCATATTGGCTTCTAAAATTTCAAATGAATCAAATTTAACGTTTTTCTAATCATTTTTTATCACCCACCAAAGATTTTTCACATTTGATATCTAAGAGTAAACCTTTTTTCCTTTCTTTTATGTACCTAAAAAATAAAAATATCTAAATTAGTGTATTTAGAATATATAACTAGATGTTCCAATTAAGAAAATCTACTATAATGTAATTGAATTTTTTAATATTGTTAAATCAATTTAACAAATCGATATTTCCCAAAGTTTCTAAAAAATCATTTGAATGAAAAATCCTAAATATGTTTTTCACTTGTTAAATATAAGAAGTTATTAATTAAAATTGAATTATATATTCTAAAACCTGATATTAAATACTCCAAAATTGTATACATCAATTAAGTTACTTTATTGACACAAAGAAAATCGTGAGTGTCCAAAAACTACGAATTATGAAACCTTGGTAGCCAATATGAAATTCACTTGTAACTATAGTTCCGATTTTGCCCATTTAAAAATACTAAATAAAACTTAATGTACAAAATGAAAGCGATAAAATACAAATTTAAGAGTAAAATATAATCTCAAAATATACATATATTGTATTTTCATCTTTTTTATATTTTATATTCATATTTTGTATTAACCAAAAAAATAATTATTTTACCATATATACTTATACTTTATATTTATTATTTAATATTTATTTCTTATTTTTTAAATTTATTCCAATGTTGAACCTTTTCTAGAGTTGAGGGGGTAATTAATTGAGCAATTCGAACAAGTTGAGATATGCTAATATCTCATTTCTCTCCTATGTTGAGCAATATATATATATATGTATATATATGTAAAGAAATGTTTTTCCATTTAATTCAGATTCAAATTAATGGTTTTTTACGGCACTCCATTACGTATTAAGATGCTCATGATTGTATTACGTACTGTGCTTTTATTCTAATGAATGATTATGTGTAATTTTTTTTACTTTTTCATTCAGATTCAAATGATGTTGGTTTCAGCGCTTCTTCAGCAATTTCCCAGCCTGTTGATGTTCATACAATGCACCTTTCACCCGGATCCACTATGTATTGGACACCCGAGTGTGATCCCGCTGTAAAACCATATGTTGGTATGTTGTTCAATAACATACGTGATGGTAAGCTTTTTTACGATGAATACGCGTCGGTGTGTGGTTTTGAAACACGTATTTTTAGTTCATCAAAGTCTCGTGATGGTGTTATTGTTTGGAGATATTTAGTATGTAATAGGGAGGGATTAAAAAATGTAGCTAAATCTCACAAGGATGCATGTAACAATGATGGTTGCAATAATTAAGATTTAGATAATGAGTGAACTCATGAAAATGATTCATCAGAATGTGAAGGAGGTGAAATTGATGGGCAATCTTCTACTCAAGATTTACAAATTCATGCCCTCTGTGTTGATGGTGAGAAAAAGAGACGTCGAGTTTCCAATAGGGTTGGTTGTAAAGCACGTTTAGTGCTTAGGCTTGCTGGCACCAATAGATATGTGCTTACATTTTTTGAAGAGAGGCATAACCATTGTATGGCTTCTACTTCTTCCATGCCATTTTTAAAAGTGAATAGGAAACTTGATATTGGTCACCAAATGTTTTTTCTCAATTGTGCTAAAGCAAATATCGGTACAATGAAATGTTATCGATTGTATAAAGAAACTGTCGGGGGCTATTCCAATATTCGTGCCACATCCGTTGATTTTAAGAATTTTAAACGTGACTTGAAGGCCTACATAGTTGGCGTGGATGCTCAAATGGTGATAGATAAACTTTTCAGAAAGAAAGAGGTTTGTTCAGCCTTTTCTTTTGACTATGATGTCGATGAGAGTGATCAATTGACACACATTTTTTGGGTTGATCCAGTCTGCATAAGGAAGTATGCTTTATTTGGGGACGTTGTTTCTTTTGATGCTACTTATGAGACTAATCGGTAATTTTTCTTTTCATTCATTATTTGTTAGTAAAACTATTTTTACCTTCTTTTATGTAAAATTGCTTATCCCTGACACTGATATTCTTATATTTATGTATGTTTCACTTCTCCTACATACCATTCTTTCATCATACTGTTTGTTGCACCTTTGTTTAGTATATGATGCACTCATATGTAAAATTGTTGATCCCTCACACTGATATTCTTATACTTATGTATGTGTCACTTTTCTCACATAACGTTGTCCCATCACACTGTTTGCTGCACTTTTCATTAGTATATGATGCACTTTTATGTAAAATTGATTGTCCCTCACACTGATATTCTTATACTAATGTACGTGTCACTTTTATGACATAACCATCTTTCATGACCATGTGGTCTGATATTCTCATACTGATGTACATGTCACCTTTATACTTAGTTCACACACATGTTTGAAATTCACAATCTTTGGATCCCTGCTTATTTTGGTGACGTTTTCATGGCTGATTTGCTTAGGACTACATCACGTTCAGGAAGCGAGAATAATTTTTTCAATGAATCAACGAATCCTAATTTCAGTCTGATTGAATTTTGTATGCAGTTTGAAAGTGTTATGGATTCACAAAGACACAATAGTGCACAGTTGACCAAAGTTTCTGAGTCATCCATTCCTGAATACAAAACTCCATTACATATTGAGAGATATGCTTCGTCTGTTTATAATCATTCCATTTTCTATCTCGTTCAGAAGGAAATATGTTGCGCTTGTTTTTCTTGTGGTGTACATAGTGCTCAACATGAAGACGACGTGTCTCAGTATGTAATATCTGATGAGCGAGGTTTTAGTTTCACAGTTGAGCACAATAATAGTGATTGTACTACAAGTTGCACGTGCAAACATTTTGAAAGGATTGGCATACTGTGTTGTCACATATTTTTCGTGTTTAAAGATATGAAGGTTAATGTTATTCTAGATAAATATGTGTTACACAGATGGTGCAAGGATTCTATCTTAAAGCCTCTCAATGCATTTGAAGATGTTGTTTTTCAACACTGTGTTGGCACTGAAGAAAAGAAAGGAGCTATAAAGCAATTGTGGTCTGATATTCATTTTTGTGTCGAAATGATTGAGCACGACCCTGATTTATTCCAGCAGTTTGCCGATGTCATTAAGGCGCAGAAAGACTTATTGTCTGCCTCTCACCAAAACAGTGCACCATCAACTTCAAAAAGGGATGTTATTAAATCATTTTATGGATCATCTATTCCTACCGAAGTCAGTGTGCACCCGCCTCAGCAAGCTCGAAATAAGGTTGTGGCAAGAGGATTAAAGGCGACAAGGAAAAGGCAATTGAAATCAGCAAGAAGAGTAAGAGACTTTGCAGAACATGTAATCAGAAGGTTTATCACGACAGCAGGAATTGTCCTTTGAACTCTGAGAAATGATCACAATTTTAATGGATCTGTCTGTAGACAATTTTGATTATTATTGATGAACTTTGATTATTATTGATGATTAATTAGAGTTGTATGAAAATTTGTATTGCTATTAATTTCATTATTTAATTTACATATTTACTTATGAATTTTGTCCACATGTTATCATTACTTGTACTCCAAATTCTTTATATTTGAAAATGATATTTTTTTCGTTTATTAATATATGTGTAGTCTCCTGATGTAGTCCATTTGTGGCATTGTGAATGATGTGAACTTTGTGACTTCGTTTAATGTTACTTATGCACCGCTAATTATGCCCTGATGTTCATTTACTCTCTCCCTAATGCACTCCACAAGCGCACCATAATTCATTTTATGTATGCACTGCTAATCATCCCCGGATGCACCGTTTACTATCTCCCTAATGCACTCCACATATCACCATAATTAATTTTTCAGCCTTTAATGTACTTGGTTTTAATGTACTTGGTTTCATGTAAATGATGCACGTCGTATCATTTTAATAAGGATAAAGGGTCAAATAGGTCCTTGTACCCTTTCAGATTGCTCAATTTGCCCCCTCAACCCAAAAAAGCTCCAATTGGAACCCTGAACTCGGTAAAAATATTCAAATTTCACTTTTTGAAGGTTTCAATCCGCTCACCGCCACGTCACCCGGTAGGGTGCCAACTGTGCATGTGACGTGGCAACTTAGAGGGTCAAATAAGCCCCTGAACCTGATCGAATCGTTCAATTTACCCCCTCAACCCTAAAAAATGTCAAAAAAATTTTAAGGGTTGATGGGGTAAATTGAACATTTCAGTCGGGTTCAGGGGCTTATTTGACCCCCTAAGTTGCCATGTCACATGCACAGTTGGCATCCTACCGGGTGATGTGGCGGTGACCGGCTTGTGACCTGCAAAAAGTAAAATTTGAATCTTTTTATGGAGTTCAGGGTGCCAATTGGAGCTTTTTTGAGTTTGGGGGGGGGGGCAAATTGAACAATCCGGAAAGGTACAGGGGCCTATTTGACCCTTTAGCCTTTTAATAACTACTTGGACGTTCATCTAAATTCAATAGAAATCCCGTTGTTGATGGTCTTCAAATTTTGTTTATTAATGGACTTTGAATAATTTTATTTATCCACTGCTAATAATCCCATGCCGCACTTTTAGCTTTTCCCTAATGCACTCAACGTTAAGACATAAATGGTTTTAAAAAAATGAGACATTATCAGTAGCTGTTGCACTTCTCATTTTATACTACAATACTCATTTCATCCACAACCTTATGTCAAAACCGCATTTCATATGCACCAATTTACTATGAAAATTATATATGTTTTATGTACATTTTTAACATAACATATAATTGCACTTCGAAATAAATTCAACCAAATTTTTGCATTAATAAATGTAGCAACAGAATATGAGACTTGGAAAATGCGAGATGTTCAAAGATGTCTCAAAACCACCATCCATCATATCGGAAATCAAAATATAAGTATTAAAGATATTTTAAAACTGATCACATATTTTCTTCCCCCACAGCTTGTGGCAGTTTTATATTAAATGCCCTTTTTATTTTTGACTTCTCTAACAAACTCATTGGCTTTGCTGAAATTTAATTCTTTTAGTTCATTCACTTCTGTCCCTGCTATTTCTGTCCAGTACTTCATCCTTAAAGCTGCCATAGTCTTTGTATCTCCCTTCTTTAATCCAATATCTCAACTCTTCACACTTTGACCCATGTACGTTTCCATGTGTCTCATCGTCCATATTCCCTAAGCACACAGGTTCTTCACATCTCTCCACTTCATTGCCAACCTCGTCACCCCGACCTTTTGGAACGCCTTTTTGCCTTCCAAGTATTCCATATTCTGATAGAAATTTAATACAAAGGTTCATCTGTTTAACAAAACATTCAACAATAAATGACATTAACTCCTCATCCCTTTCATTTTTTAACATATGAAACTGAATGCATAAATTAATTACTATTACCATTGACAAAGGCATCTTATCATACATCTCCTCCATAGTGAGATTACATGAAGAGTAGTCCAAAATTTCTATTTTTTTACTCTTCATATTGAAGCACAAGACGTAGCAGTGGGAAGGCTGGATAATTGGGAAGAAAAACTACAATACAAACATGAATTAAATTACAATATCAATGCACATACACATCACATTTTATGCACCATGACGTGCACTTTGTGGTGGTGTGCACTCAAAATTATAATCAATACAACTGATGGAGTATTAACTCCTAGAGAGAAAGGAGAGCTAGAGAGATAAAGTGATATATATAATGAATTTCCAACCCTTTACATGACTCCCTTAGGGAGTATTTATAGGAGAAAAGCGGGTTGGGCTTCCAGGCTTGGGCCTGGAAGGCCCATTTACAATAAAAGGCCAATAAATGGCTAACAAATGGTATTTAATCTATTCTAACGGGTATACATGAATAAAATGGAGTGTACAACGAAATAAATGCTATCTACTGAGCGTATGTGGGCCGCTGTCCGGGTCCAATAGTCGTGAGACCCGGGGGTCCGAGTCTATATACTCTATCAGGAGTCCCCCACTCTCCGAGTCGAGAGTATTCGAGGCGAAAGAGAGTAGAACTGTGCTGATCTGTCGCCGTCTGGTGAGTAAACTTCATGAACAAAAATTTGAATTTCTGCTTCTTTGGTTAACGGAGGCGCTAAGTCCCCCGCTCTTCCAGTCCCCCACTCCTTGAGGTGAGTGTAATGAGGTGAAGAGGAGTAGAGTAATGCGTGTCGGATGATGTCTTCAACAGGGGGCCGAGGGTTGACACATTTTGATCCACGATGGGGAGATGCCTCGTTAAAAACCTCATTAGGAAAAAACCCTGTGGGAAAAAATCCTAATGAGGGAAAAAGAGTACACCGGATGCCCCCAAAATGAAACAAAAGGTGCGAGCCCTTCGGCCTGGAGATGGAGCTGCAGCGGTGCCCGTCTGCTGGGGGGATGGCCGAGACCAGTCTCTAGATGTGAGTAGCTCGGCATGATAAGTAGTCCTAGTCATCAAATAAAGATGACTAAGGGATGGGTCGAGCGACCGTCCACAATATGATGTCTGGTTCATCAAATAAAGATGACCAGAACGTAAGGCCGATGGGTCGAGAGGCCTGTACGAGAGCTCCACGTTGTCGAATAAGGACGACGAGGCGATGTATGGCCGAGGGACCTGCATAGAGCTCCACGTCGTCAGATAAAGACGGCGGGGCGATGGTGCGGCCGAGGGGCCTGCATAAGAGCTCCACGTCGTCAAATAAAGACGACGGGGCGATGGTGCGGCCGAGGGGTCTGCATAAGAGCTCCACGTCGTCAAATAAAGACGACGGGGTGATGGTGCGACCGAGGGGCCTGCATAAGAGCTCCACGTCGTCAAATAAAGACGACGGGGCGATGCTACGGCCGAGGGGCCTGCATAAGAGCTCCACGTCGTCAAATAAAGACGACGGGGCGATGCTACGGCCGAGGGGGCCTGCATAAGAGCTCCACGTCGTCAAATAAAGACGACAGGGTGATGGTGCGGCCGAGGGGCCTGCATAAGAGCTCCACGTCGTCAAATAAAGACGACGGGGCGATGGTACGGCCGAGAGGCTTGCATAAGAGCTCCACGTCGTCAAATAAAGACGACGGGGCGATGGTGCGGCCGAGGGGCCTGCATAAGAGCTCCACGTCGTCAAATAAAGATGACGGGGCGATGGTGCGGCCGAGGGGCCTGCATAAGAGCTCCACGTCGTCAAATAAAGACGACGGGGCGATGGTGCGGCCGAGGGGCATGCATAAGAGCTCCACGTCGTCAAATAAAGACGAAGGGGTGATGTATGGCTCAGAGGCCTACAAATGAGTTCTACGTCATCAAATAAAGACGATAGAACGACATATGGCCGATGGGCCTGTAGATGAGCTCTTCGTCATCAAATAAAGATGATAGAGCGAGATATGGCCGATGGGCCTGTAAATGAGCTTCACGTCATCAAATAAAGATGACGAGGCGATATATGCCCGATGGGCCTGCAATTGAGTTTCGCGTCATCAAATAAAGATGACGGAGCAAGATGTGGCTCAGAGGCCTACAAATGAGTTCCTCGTCATCAAATAAAGATGACAGAACGATATATGGCCGATGGTCCTGTAGATGAGCTCTTCGTCATTAAATAAAGATGACAGAGCGATATATGGCCGATGGGCCTACAAATGAGCTCTTCATCATCAAATAAAGATGACAGAGCGATATATGGCCGATTGGCCTGCAAATGAGCTTCACGTCATCAAATAAAGATGACGGAGCGATATATGGCTGAACTCTGGGCTCCTTTAGCCTTTCGGCCGGAGACCGCAAGATGTTCGCTATATCTGAATAGGGGGACGAGGCGGTGGACGCCTGTCTGAATATGAGGACGACGACGCTGATGAGTCGGTCCGAATATGAGGACGACAGCGCTGACGAACCGGTCCGAATATGGGGACGAGGCGATGATAAGCCATGCGTCATATGAAGGCGACGGTCACCATCCAGGAAGGGAATGGCGAGCCTGGTCGCTAGATAAGGACTTCGGCGCTGGGGCCGGTCTAAATGTGAGGACGAGGCGATGATGAGTCGTGCGTCATATAAGGGCGACGGTCGCCGTCCGGGAAGGGATGGCGAGCCCAATCGCTATAACAAGACTTCGGCGCTGGGAGCCGGTCTTGAGATAAATAATCATGTCGCGGCCGAGAGGCTGATCACGATGTGCGGATGACAATGATGAGGAGCCAGTCCGAAATATGATGACGAGGCGATGATGGAGCCGATCATCATATAGAGGCGATAGTCACCATCCAGGAGGGGATGGCGAGCCTGATCGCTAGCCCAACACACTCGGCGCTGATGAAGCCGATGTTGGGATAGGGTGTGACGTCGTGGCCGAGGGGCCGATCGTGATGCGAGGTCGTCAGCACTATGAGGCTGATCCAAAAGTCCAAGCAGCGGTCGCCATCCGATGAAGGAATGACTGAGACCGGTCTTGGGGATAGATAATCACGCCGAGGCCGAGGGGCCGATCGTGATGTGCGGATGGAGATGATGAGCCGATCCGATAATATGATGACGAGGCAAGAATGAAGCCGATCGTCATATAAGGGCGATGGTCACCA